GAAGAGCCAGCGCTGTCCAAAGACGTTTCCGTGGTCATGTGGCCGGCATGACTAAACACCAAGGCACACGGAACACTGTGTCCTTCCCACAGAAGTGGTACCTATTTATCTACTTGCAGTTTCTTGCTTTCGAACTGCTAGGTTGGCAGGAGCTGGAACTAGAGACGGGAGCTCACTCCGTCATGCGGCAACCCGGGTCTAGAACTGCTGAACTACCGACCTTCCACAGCCTGCAGTTCAGCATCTTAACCACTTGAGCCACCGCAGCTCCTTTGACATGTGTACACCCCTAATAAATTACATTTTATGACACACATGACCCGGCCCAATAAGGTCTAATTTATGTCGGCCCTCATAACAAATGAGTTTGACACCCCTGCTCCAGAACTGTCTTTTACAGAATTACCATCCACCATGGAAGGATGCTACATCTCTGGGGACTGGAGTCTCTTATTAAAGGTCACTCATAAAATGGAAAAAATCACAGCTCTGTTTCTCACACCCACACGTATGTACGCTCCCTTGCCAAAGGTTCTTGGACTGGCTACATCTCCTATGACACAGGTCAGTGGATTTTCAGAATGATCCGACAGAGTTTTGACCTCACAAGCAAGCTTTTGGCTAAACCTCAGGTAGAAACTTCCTGACAGAGCCGTTCTGTGGAAAAGGCTTCCTCGGAAGGAGGAGGAGGAGACGAGGAGGAGATTGGATTTATACCCCGCCCTTCAGTACCCAGAGGTGTCTCAGAGCGGCTTACAAGCTCCTTTCCCTTCCCCTCCCCACCACAGACACCCCCTGTGAGGTCAGTGGGGCTGAGAGAGCTCTTGACAGAAACGGCTCTTTTTCAAGGACAGCTCTTGTCAGAACTACGGCTTGCCCAAGGCCATCCAGCCAGGTGCAAGTGGAGGAGGGGGGAATCGAACCCGGCTCTCCCAGATTAGAGTCCGCGCACTTAACCACGACACCAAACTGGCTTGCTTCGGTGGTGGGCTCTCCTTCTTGGGAGGTTTTCAAGCAGAGGCTAGATGGCCATCTGACACGGCAATGCAGATCCTGTGAGCTGAGGCAGATCCTGAGAGGGGGGGCAGGGAGGGTTGCCTCAGGGCTTAGTTCTTGTGGCCCTTCCTTACACGCCCATGTTGGGGTCAGGAAACAATTTTCCTCCAGGTTGGACTGGACAGGGATCCTTCCTCTGGGCACGGGGCAGGGGTCACCGGGGAAGGGAGGTAGTTGTGAATCTTCTGCGTCCAGCAGAAGATTGGGCTAGATGACGCTTGCAGTCCCTTCCAGGTCTAGGTTTCTATCTTCAATCAATCTCCTCCCTCCCTTCCAGATGGGCCACGGGTTCTGGAGGTTTCCCCCCCTTTCCTCTGGGCATAGAGCAGGGGTCAGGGGGGGGGAGTGTAGATGTCAATTTCCTGGGTGGTTCAGGGGGCTGGACTAGATGGCCCTTGATGCTCCCTCCCTTCCTCCCTCCCTCCCTCCCTCTCCCTCCCTCCCAGATTGGCCAGGGGTTCTGGAGGTTTTTTACCTTTCCTCTGGACTTAGAGCAGGGGTCACAGGAGGAGTGCGGGGGAGTGTAGTTGTCAATTTCCCAGGTTGTTCAGGGGGCTGGACTAGATGACCCTTAGTGCTCCCTTCCTTCCTTCCTTTCTCTCCCTCCCTCCTTTTCTTTCTCTCTCTCCCTCTCTTTCTTTTGGTGCAGTGGTTAAGTGTGCAGACTCTAATCTGGGAGAACCGGGTTTGATTCCCCACTCCTCCACTTGCACCTACTGCTCTGACCTTGGGTCAGTCACAAGCTCTGTCAAAGCTGTCCTTGAAAAAGAGCAGTTTCTGTCAAGAGATCTCTCAGCCCTACCCACCTCACAGGGTGTCTGTTGTGGGGAGGGGAAGGGAAAGGAGTTTGTAAGCCGCTCTGAGACTCCCAAGTGAAGGGCGGGGTATAAATCCAATCTCT